AGAAGTACCAGTGAAGCAACGAGTACCACTTTTTGGGCCCCGTGCTGACCATGTCCCATTCCTGGAGCGGTGAAAAAATTAGATCGGATAAAAACAACAGAAATTAATCAAAATAGCACTTTTATGTATAAGTTGTTACAACAAAAGTACTGTTGCTTAAGCACTCCGCCAGCTGTGCTAACAGTGAAGTTCTAAAACCGAAAAGTTGCAGCTCAGGGCTCTTCCTGAATTTTTCCAGTTCTAAAGGGGATATGAGTTTTTTTTCAGGTGCGGTACCACAAAACATAAAAAAGAAGTGCTAGATAATATAAGAAATTTTTGGATCACTATCTTCAGTAAAAGACGCCTCGGTTTTTGTGGTAAGTTATGGCTAACAATTTTTAAGCATTTTTGTGCTTTCCACTTTTGCCGCTCAATGAGTTTATGCTGTTTGGAAAGTTGTGGGGATTTCCGTAAAGGGAATCAAATTCTGGAAAAAGATGCCTTATGGAGGTAATTTAGGCTTAGCCTGGCAATACTCCCCGTACAAAATATGATTCATTCACAAATTCACAGGTTTCGTTTGGCATAAGTGTTGCCTAGGCAACAGAGTGGGCAAGCAGAATTCATTACGAGCACAGTCCTTGATCCACTCTTGGAGTTAATGAATCTTTTTTTATAGTTTCCTACAAAATGATTTTTAACCCATTCAAAAAATTTGAAATTTAAGAAAGTGCAATGCTTTTCTTCAAATTTTTGAATTTATTTTCATTTTTTACGGTAGTTCCGAGAAAAACAGCTAAAAAATTGACTCGAGATGTTTTTTTTCCTCAAAAAAAAAACACTAAAAACACCAGAGTCGCACGTATTATCAGAAGCTAAGCCTTTGGAAATACTGCCACCAGGACGATCGCATCAAAAATATCAAATTTACTAAAACTCCCGGGCAATTATTGCGGATATCTCGTTGTTACTGATGTTACTGGGATACTCACACACAGTGGGCGCAGCTATTCCAAATCATTTTCGATCCTGAGTTGCACACCTCCAGTTAGTACCCATCGCCTATTCAACAGTGTATGTGTCTGTTCCAAACGGAAGTACTAACTTGGAATGTTTGTCTTTTATCAAATCAGTGCCTGGAGTCAGCTCATTCTGGAAAGAGTACAATCGCGTGAATTATTTCCAGAAATTCCGGACCAATCCAGGCACATCCGTTTCACATCCCCGTTCGCCCACAATTTCCACCTAAAAATATGCATCTCTGTTTTAAAAAAAGCATAAAAAACACCGGCAAAATTAAAATTTTGATAAAATCAGAAATTTTAAAACGAGCACACACAGCCGCACTGCGCATGCCTCCAAGGTTGTTTTGAATGACAATGTGTTGCAGGTAGAATGAGTGGGCGCCGTCGTCAAGGATTACACCCCCCATGGGTAGCATATACACACATACACACAATTTCGTACATACACATACACATGCACACAATTTCATACGCGCAAACTTACAATAAATGCATGTTCACATGCAAATATAAACATATATAAACACACACAAATGCACATACATATATGCAACATTCTTACAAACATATAAACACATACATACATACATAAACAGCGTCACAGACACGCACATACACAATTGTTGCAAACATAAACTGATTCACAAACACACATACGTACACACACACACATATATACGCACACGCACACACACATACACACATGCATACATACACAAATACGTACACATATACGTACATGCATACATACATACACACACCATTATAAGAAAAGCATATTAAAGGCATGGAATAACTATGAATTGTTACATTCGTTTGTTCCTGGCAATTGTGGATTGAGAGGGCCATTGCGGGGCACAATCGGCCATTAAAAGAGA